ACCATCCCCCCTGGGGGGTGATTTCTCGCTTTCTGTCTCTATGTCTCTCTCTGTCTGGCGAGCGCACGCACCCTACAGCAAAAACCTCTGAAAAAAGAAGATATTTTTGCTATAGAGTGCGTGCACTCACTGGAGACACAGAGAGAAACAGAGATAGAAAGCAAGAAATTACTCTGCTGGTGGGGATGGCCATGCTGCAGTCCCTTCTCCATTCTCCTCCTATGATTCTGGGCACGCACGCACATGCACTTGATGTGTTTCAAGTCACTGGGTCTAGGACTAGAACCATGGTGGACCATGTGGGAGTCCAGCACCCTAACCACTGTGCTGCATGCTGGCCCCTTGTTTTATTATTCTAAGAAAGCCAATACAGCCAGCACGAGCCTCTCTTCCGTACTGTCTGCACTTGCTAAGCCGCACCAGCGCCTGGCAATCCTGAGGTCTGTGCAGTATAGGAGGTTCTGAAGAGGTCACAGAGCTCCTGTAAAATGAAAAGACTATACACGGGTTTCAAAATTGGTTTGCACCGGGACCAGCAGTTAGCGTAATGGCTACGTCACTGGACTCCCATGTAGTCGACTGCAATTTGAGTCCCGGACCTGGTGGCTTAAACTCACACCGGGCGTGCGTGTGCGTGTGTGCCCAAGATCCCAAGAGGAGAATGGAGGAGAAGGGATTGTGGCGTGGCCATCCCTCCTGGGGGGGGATTTCTTGCTTTCTATCTCTCTGTCTCTATCTGTCTTTCTGGTGAGCACACGCACCCTATAGCAAAAACCTCTCCAAAAAAAGAAAAAAAAATTGGTTTGCACCAAAATAAACTCACTTTCATTCCATTTTCCATGAGCTTTTTGAATTCCCCGTGTAGAATAATCGACAGCTCACACTCCTACCTTGCCCAGCGTTCACTCATTTGGCCAATTCAATTGCAGTCTGGGCATGGAAGGACTGAATTTTACCCATCTGTTGGCCTGTTTCCACAGTAGCTGCTGTTACACTGCGTGTACTTTGTAAATACAGCAAACTGAATTGATATAAATCATTTATAGGGCAGGTTAGAAAAGAGTAGGATTAGAAAATTTTTTTTTTTTAGAATGATTTAATTTTATTTATTATTATTTTTCAGTTTGACCAGAGAGAGACAGAAAGATGGGGAGGGAGGGTGAGAAAGCAAACCATCCAGTCCAGGACTTGAACCATGGGGTGGTTTTTGTTGCCATAGGGTTTGTGTGCTCACTGGAGACAGAGAGAAGGGAAGGAAGAAATCACCCCCCCGGGGAGATGACCACACTGCAATCCATTCTCTTGGGATTCTGGACACACATACGTGTGGTCTGCATGATTATTTAGGGTGCATGCACTTGCTAGAGAGAGACATAGATAGTGAGAAAGTAGAAGTCACCCTCTGGGGCATGGCCAAGCCACAATCCCTTCTCTAGTCTCCTCCCAGGAGCTTGGGCACACATGCATGCACGTGCGCCTATTAGTTTGAAGCCACTGGGTCCAGGACTCTAACTGTGGCTGGCCGTGTGGGAGTCCAGCACCTTAACCACCATGCCACCTGCTGCCCCAGAAGATGCTGTTTTATGTAGTATCATTTCCCACGTCTGTGTTTTGCTTTTAGATTCCTCCGTGGGGGGTGGGGGGCAGCAGATGGCATGGTGGTTGAGGCACTGGACTCCCACATGGCTGATCACGGTTCGAGTG